ACCTTTTTTTTGGTACATTTTTTCATTAACGAAAAACAAAACCGACTACTCGCTTCTCACAATTCAGTTTATATTTTACTTAAATACACTTAACTATATATTTTTTCTGGATTCTTTCTCTAATTGTCGAATAAATATTAAACAAGTCAATCTTTTTATTAACGAAAAACAAGACCGACTTGAAATATCTTTTTTTTTTTTTAATAAAACACTAAAGGACGTTTTACAAACATAAATTTCACGCGGACAAACACCCAGATGCGAAACAACTATCTGTGGGTCACACAAACAGTTGTCCCGTGTGGGAATCGAGCCCACGACCCCCGACGCCGAAGCCAATACCTTGGCAACTGCGCCACGGAGTCATCATATCTCCCCCTGTATGCATTTTATAATATATCAGGAGTTTCCTAAGTGTCGCCGCAGCCCAAGATCCAATGCCAACGAAATTAATATGGGACCACTGGGAATCATCAGTTAACAAAGTAAAGTACCGATAAGTAATAACCGCCGCCCTTGGACGTTTGCAACACGCGTAGGGTTGCAGATGCTTTGCCACCTCTTAATAAAATGGGCCCCAGCTATCTCAATCGCCAGACGAAACGTAGAAGTGTAACAAGTCTACTTTACGCCGGTCTTCTGTGAGGTCGTGGTACTTACCCGGACGGACCCGCCCATTCGTGCACCGGCGAAGCGTGGCCTTACCACACTTAAAACTAGATACCTAACTAGATCTTTTGGCCGTGGACGTATTAAGCACTTGAAAGATCCTTGCCATCTTGTATTGCGTTTCAACTGAATATAAACACCCCACTCAATAAACTAAACACAGTTGTCTAATCGAGGAGAGAATTCGCCATGAAAAGCAATAAACATTTTTCACAAACGAAAAAACCAACCTCAAATATCTCGATTACTAATTTACTATACATTTCCTAATCGATATTAGGGAGTTACCTGGTGCACATATCTTCGAAATGAAACGCCCTCGAAAATATCCCCTTTCCAATAAAGGAACAATTTTCCACTTCGGTTCCCTCGTTAATAATAATAATTAATAAAATATATGAAAAGCTGACTTTAGCCAGTCTATCTATGATATTACAACGAAAAAACCTCTGTCTGCCCGTGACCATGAACCCTTTAAATGTTAGAAACGTCTAGAACTGAAATCGTAATTAAACACGATAAAAACCGAAAAATGAGTCTTTTTCAACAATCATTAAAAACACTACAGACAGAGGCTAAAGACTTAACAGTATCCACTTTAGATCAAGTATTATTAAATACGTGTAGTTAAGAAAGCTTGATTTGTTTTAGCCTTAGATATACCTCGTTAGATAGTCTTCTTATCGTTGTCACAAACGAAATTCAAGGAAATTCTCTTTATGTAATGGTTTTAGTAAAGAAAAAGAGCATAATAAAAGTTCTGTGTTGTCTATGATCCCTTTCTGTTCCGATAAATTCTTACGCATATTTCATTTTTAAATTTTAACGAAAACTCAATTAAATTAGTTCGATTTAATTAATGAACGAATTAATTTTAAATTTGAGTCATTAATAGTTGCCCGAACTATGCATTTCAGAATTGACAATGTATTATTCGTTAATAATAATCCCTGAATAATTCATTTCTATACAAGTGCAACAAGAAATAAATCGAGCCACAGATAAAAAAACCAACCAAACACACACTTAAAACTCGCCTGAGCATGACCATAACATTCTATATTTAAAAAATTGCCGGGAAAAAATCTCAACGTCGTTACAAAGAACGCGTTGATGGAACAGCGGAAAGGAGAAAATACTTTTCGCTCGTAAACGCTATCGCTAAACGTTTTTTAGCAGCGTTGCGTGCTTACCCGCTAATGCGTGTAACAGGATTATAACGAAGACGTTGAAGTCGCCCATTAACAGGCGGGAGGTTGCTTTTTGCGTTTCTCCGTGCGTCAACTGATAAATTAACTCGTCTATGTGGCAGAACGTGGTAGGTTTACGCCGGTAATTATACATATAGTGGTTTAATCACTGGTGTTATTCTAAAGTAAATGAAAAGTGCTCTGCCACGAGACCCCAGAATTAAGTAAGCTTTATGCGAGAAAGTGCCGATTACAAAACAGACTTAACGACGATGAGCCCAAGTTACTTCACTCAGTAGACGAAAATTATAAACGCTTCTACTGATGTCTAAAATTTGCATAAACTTGCTTCAATATGACGACTAATTTGTTCGAATTCGAATTAACACTACGCACCTTTTTGAATTACGCTCATAAACTCATAAATAGCTTTCATTATACTCATAAACTCTCAGTTCGAATGATCCTGAAATAAATTTACCAAGTGAAAAAAACGCCATCTTGAAATCGGCGATAGGTTTTAAATTACGAACATACGTTTGCTATTCAGTTCGAATGTAGTATAAGACGCGACTGTACTAATGTACAGTCGCGTCTTTTATTACATTCTATATACTACTTTCGAACATGTATTAGCATTATCTTTAATTCGGCGAATTTATCTTTACATAGGCACAGTTAGAAGAAATCAAAAATAACTTTCAACATGACTGTACAGTAGCACTTCTTTAAACGAGACACTGTATACAGTTCAAATGATTCAGAAATTATTATACCATTGATAAATAGACTGTAATACAGGAAAAATTCATATTTTTGATTATGATTCACTGTTGCTGTATACATGTTCATACATCATACATGTATACAGGAACAATGCAAATTATTCAGAAATGACTTGACAACGTGACTGTACGGTATCGCTTATACCGCACAGTGACGCTGAATACAGTACGAATGGTTTTAAAACGACTTTAGAACGCGACTGTACGTTCGCGATTTCTTCAATCGGGACACCAGTAAACAGTTTGATACGATAAGACTGTACCGCACGAGTTTGTGTACGGTCGCAACTATCGCGACACTACATTCGTTTCGAATGACGGGAGACGGCTTCACAACGCGACGGTACCGATGCGATTTCGTTAATCGAACCGCGGCCGCGCGTGCAATCGCCTTTGTCCGAAACTCACGCATCGAAGAACTGAGAGATTGCTATCGGAACAAATATGGCCTCTTTGCTCGGAAGTTATTAATTCATTTCGCATTCGCTTACGCTCCCTCGTCGCGAGCGCACGTGTCCATTGTTGGCGGTATAATGGCGCGCTTTGATAGTCCTAATCCGGTATGGGAGGGATAATTATTCTAATCTATTGTATCGCCTGATCTACCAGAAACTATACTAGTACCTATATTAAAATTCATGCATTCATTCGATGCTTCAATAGTATCGACCTTTATGGGTTTATTATACTCTTTTCGAGTAATCGCTGAATGTCAGGTATACAACCGACTTGTTTGCCATCTTCCGATATGAAATAATCTTGATTGTTGGCAGACCATCTTTAACAGAAATTCTGCCACGCACTGTTTGAAGTGGTGTGAACCACTTTTATCTACCGGACCGATACGACCTAGGGATCTTTATAAGGAGGGCACATTCCCTGATAAGACGGCAAAACTTCTGCAACTTTCTTTGTAGCCAATGACGGTGATCACAGCAAGTGGGCATCATCGTTACATCGTTTTAGATAAAAAAAAAAAATAAAAATTGGTTTAATATTAGAATCCGTAAAATATTTTCGCTTACGTGTTCTATTCGAAACTGTTGTAGAGACGCACAACAGTCTTCGCTGTTTCACCTCACAGGAGATCGGCGTTGAGTGGAAGTGTTATAATTATTCTGCGTTTCGTCTGGTGAGTGAGATAGCTTGCCGGGGCCCACTTTACGGGCAACGCATCCGCAAATCCTACGAGTTTCGCAAATGTCAATGGGCGACGGTTATCACTTCCACTGTCACTATCGACCCGCCAGCTGGCTTGCCACTCACACTTACTACGTGCTTCTCACACTAACGCCCGGTTTCTGAAACACTGGTCATCGTACATGTCAACTAATCAGCCGTCAAATGGCTTTTCAAATTTCATTTTAGTCGCCAAAAGGACGGGTAAATTCTCTGAATTGACCAGAATGATCTTCTAATGATCAGAACGATCAATCCAAAGAGTTTAACCATCCTTATGGCAACTAAAATGAAATTTGAAAACCATATGACAGCTGATTAGTTGACATCTACGATGATCAGTGTCTCAGAAACCGGCAGTAAATGTACTTAACTTTATATTTTTGCTTGTTTCTTTCTCTAATTATCAAATAAATATTTAAATAATCTTTGAGAAAATCTGTATATATATATATATATTACTAGGTTTTCGCCCGCGGCTTCGCTTGCGTTGAAGCCCTTAAATAAATATCTTTCAACCCTTACAACACTTTTTTCCAATTTAAAAGTAGCCTATGGCCTTTCTCAGGCTCTAGACTATCTGTGTATCAAATTTCATTTAAATCGGTTCAGTAGTTGTGGAGTGAAAGCGAGAAAGACAGACAGAGTTATTTTCGCATTAATAATATTAGTATGGATTGTACCTTGTGTTGTCTTAATTTCAAACCATACCAGAATATTTCTAATCACTTCATAGTTTGTTTTAAATTGCTAAAGATAGATGTAGTGGAAATAAAAAGTTGAAGGAGGGTTTTGGCAAGGACTAAGGACGTTCACACCTCTGGACAATGGTCTTGAGGTCCCATGGTAATCATTACAACATACAAAGAATAAATCAGTATTCCGCGCGAATACCCTAATAGGCGACATTGAAATCGTATGGAAAGTTATAAACTATAAATTCACATTAGCCGCCTATTCTGCTACCGGACGAGGAAAAAACAAAAGAAAAAAAACAAGAAGGAGGCCCACGTGAAATTATATCTGAGCGGCAACGCCATAAATTCAACCGCTACCGCGTATAACCCGACGGATTGAAAAGCGGCGTTCCGGAAAGGCGGCACCCGTGGCGGGCTACCGACGGAATTCGGTCGGGTGAACGAGCGAGCGTAAAATCGATAGCCGATGCGCGAGCGAGATGGCAGACTCGTACAAGCGGTCGCGGTGGGTGGGAGAGGGACGGACGGAGGAGGGCGCAGAGGCGTGGCGACACACCCGCCTAGCGTACAAGAATCCAATTTGCGAGGCAGTAGCTCCGTCTACAGAAAGAGATGGCTATATTGCTCTCGGTCTATCTCATATTGAACATTTTATTAGGTCTAGTTTGAGATCTAGCCTGAAGGTAAATAAAGCATGATGTGGTGTGCTTAAGAAATGTTTTCGGCTCCTGTTTGAAAAGGCAAGCACTCGTAAAGTCGATCCAGTGATAGATACTTGGGAATTATATTGGTGCCTACTTGATCGAAGTATGATTTATAACGTTCTTGATTAGGTTTTTTTGTTATGAGAATAATTTTGGTTTTAAAATTGGTTGTTTTTTAAGTAGGATTTTTTAAAGTTTCTTTGTGTCGGGTTTCTTGTTATCGGGTTATTTTGGATTTTATGCTGATCCTGCTGACATTATTTGTTATGTTCTTGAAAACTTTAATTTCGAATTTTTATATAAGTACCTATCATAAACAATTTAATTTAAGAATAATTAGAATTAAAGAATTTTTGCATACTAAAAAACCGGCTAAGTGCAAGTCGGACTCGTGCACGAAGGGTTCCGTACCATTATCTATAACGGCACAGAAATCATGTCTGTTGTATGGAAGCCCGCCCCACCTAAGTGTTTTTTATTCTGTTTTTTAGTATTTGTTATAACGGCAATAAAAATACAACATTTGTGATCAATTTCAACTATCTAACTATCACGGTTCATTAGATACACCCTGAACCTGACAAACATGAAAGACAGACAGATAGCGGAGTCTTAGTAATAGGTTTCCGTTTTACCCTTTATATATGCCTAATGTGCTGGCCGGAAACAAAGCTTTCGCTGCGACATTACAAAAAAATAAAAGCACGGCGCGGAGCGACGCGGGCGTTCGAAAATCGAATGCGCTTCGAATTCGATCATTTCCTCTACGTGACTTATAAAATGCAAGCGAACGGGTCGATTAGTCCGCGTTTCGCATCCGCGGACGCGGGACGTGAGGAGGACAAATGGTGTGCGACATTTGTGCCGACGCTGTAACAGTTTTAATTGTCGTTCGGGCGCAGCGTGGGTGATAAATTAGAATTAATCCGTCATGGTTGCGCCGTGAGATGCCGCGATGCAGATGGCGGTTACGAATAATAATAATATACATGTCTCTTGCCAGTGGCTGATGATAAAAAGTAACTTAACTTACAACGTAAATCGCTGGGAAGATTCCGAACCGAGGGAATTAATCAAGTTCGTCTGTGGTAGGGCCACGCAAGTCTTAACTGTTGCACGAATGGGCAGGTCCGTCCGGAGTAGTAGTAAGACCTGATAAAGGACCGGCGTGGAGTGGAAGTTCTATTATACTTCTGCGTGTCTTCTAGTGGTTGAGGTAGCCGGGGCCCACTTTATTGAGAGGTCGCAACGCATGCAACGCTACGGGTGTTGCAAACGTCCACGTGCGGCGGTTATCACTTAACATCAGGTGAACCGGCTTGCTAGTCTGTTCGCATAAAAAAACGTCAACGAACAACCCATCGGAACTGAACCCTTTAAAACGATGTAGCATCCGAATTTCTGCGGCACTGAGCGTGAGGGGCAGATGTCCGACGCATAAGGCCGGTGGCTGGTGGCAACAATGGGCATTGTGTAGGGTACGCCCCAATAGACGAGGGGGCGCCCCGCAACGCCCCTAAGCGAACAACAGCTAATAACGCTAATTATTCGGCAGCGTCCACAATACCGTGATGTTGGAACGGCTTTTACGATGTCAACTTTTTTTAACGTGGTTTAGCCACGCTGCTGTTGCACTATTGAGCCTCGTCTAGGGAAGTTTTCCGTTAGCTAGTGGCCGCGTAGTGGTCGAAATTCGACCATAATTATATATGCATGGTAGTGTGTGTAATGTTTTTTTAAATTTATTTAATGTATTTTATGCATAATTAAAAATATATATATTAGCATTCTGCACTCTATATCATCACTACATAGTATAAAACAAAGTCGTCCTGCTGTCTGTCTGTCCCTACTTATGCATCCTTAGATCTTTAAAACTACTTCACGCCGGTCTCCAGACGAATCTGCCCATTAGTGCAACAGTGAAGACATGCATGGTCCTACCGCAGTTGTTAGTCAGAGAATTAGTTAGACCAAAAACGTTTAATCTATTAGCGGTATTATACGCGATTAACCTCGTGTTACTGTTGTAGTCTAAGAGCTTAATTTGTTACACAGATCTTGATAATGTTAGTACAATAAAGAAATAATTTAGATTTAGATACAGTTAAAGTAAATACGCGGTTGAAACTCCATTTAAAGGTAATATAATTTCGTAACTTATATTTACTGAACATTATTTTCTGCTTTATAGTTCGGTTATCCACAAAAGCGTGTTTTTAAACTATTATTTATTTTCCATTTTTACTTCTACTAAGAATAAAAGCGTGTTTTTTAAGTTCGATTTCGATCAAAGTTTGATTCAAATGTAGGTAATCGTTCAAAGTGTGGCAAAATCACGTTTAAAGATTCCGTTACATAAGAGATAATTTAGGATTTTGGAAAGACCAAGGCTAAATTGGAAAACCTACATTTTTCATGTCTTGGATTGACTGCATAAGTTCCGCTTCGTTGTTATGTTTAATTCATTTCTTTCACCACCATCATTTTTCTCAACTATTTTTATTCTTTTTTTATAAGTACCTAGTTCCAATTTGAGCTTCGCGATATCTTGGCCACTTGTCTTACATAGCAATGCATCCACACTGTTTAAAATAATTATTTAAAAATGACTAAAATATAATGAGTAAATCATATCAATAAACAAACTATTTATATAATTATTTAAAACTACCTGCTGCCCGCGACTACGTCTGCGTAGAATAGGCTAAAGGTGTAACATTAAGAAAGAAAGAAAGATATACATAAAATATGTCTACAAATTATAGCCTATGTTTTATTCTGATGCATAAGCTATATTATTGTAAAGTTTCATTAAAATCCATTAAAGTAGTATTTGCGTGAAAGAGTAACAAACATTCATCCATACATACAAACTTTCGCCTTTATAATATTAGTAGGATTATTAAAATATAATCAATGCAAATAAATGACATCTCTAAGCAAATGGTCGCGGAGTATATTGAATTAAAAGCGGGCGGCCGGTCAATGAGCTATCACTGCAGATAGATAATACTGTGTATTAGTTATAATTCTTATACCAGGCAAAGATTTTCACGGCCTATACGCAAATTATATTCTCAAATGTTCCATAAACATCATTTTGAACGAAATATATAAAAAAATAACGTCCTAAAACTTCGTCTCTGTCGAACAATTATCAATACACTTTTTAGCTATTCCCTATTCCCAACACCTCTCGTGATTCAAACGCGTTAGCAATTGAATCGATTCCCGCCAAATCATCCGTGTTTACAAGTCGCGTCGGACTCGCGTTGATTGAAGGAAAAAACCGGCCGTTTACCAACACAGGCGTCCAAATGTACAGAAGTAACACGGTAGCACCCACAATGGAGCCCTGACTCAGCACATCCGAAGTACGTGTCCAATTAGGCGAGGAGCGACGATGCCCGCGCGGCGGCCGCGGACACAATGGTGTTAGATGCGGTGCGGACGACCTCTGAGTGCATGCGATGTACGTTCGATTTTTGAAATGAGGTTTGAATTTTTCTTACCCAAGGGAAATAATTCTTAACGGCCTTAGGGTGTAATACATTGACTTCAAGACTTGTCATAAAATTAAAGAAAAAGGTTTGGAACGACTTAAGATTTTTTTTGTAAAAGTACAAGGATATTATTACGTATTCATAAAATGGCACTTATCAAATTATATTATTGTGCTTTCCCTTTTATCTCTGAGTGCAGTTTTAGCGTGATAAAATTAATATTAATTACTTATTGCTGAGGCTGATGACAAGAGGGCTGGTTACTTTCTCGCTCAAAGGTTAAGCATAAATATTCAGCGAGGAAATGTAGCTAGCTTTCTTGGCACCGCGCCATGAAATAAATATTACACAGCACAAAAATAAATGTTTTACACAGCCTCTCAAATTTTACCCAAGTTCCGCATCGAGATGTAGAGATACCTAAAATTATTTTCTAACAATATTAGTATAAATCCATATTAGTATACTATCAAGTTTTTGTAGATACAGCAAACAAAAAAAATATCAATGAAAAACCACTTTAAAGGCAACACACAAACCACTGGAAACGTTGGCTAATTAGCATCGAAATAACCTCTATCCGTATAAGTAGCTGCTGACTAATAACATTACAAAAAAAAACAGAAAAAAAAATTTTCTAACCAACTACACCGATTGCTCCTCTAGAAAAAATGGCGGTATGACTAATAATGAATAGTCTGTATGGAGAAATCCCAAGACGTTAAACTATAATAATAGTAAGCTACATCGATCGCCGCATCAACAGCGGCTATATATTTCGCCACGGAACAAAAGGGATTCGAAATTCGAAATTCGAAATACGAAACCAGCGCACGCATCGTGATTCGTGCGCGCTCCAGTCGGGCGCGAGCCGCAAGCCATTAAGGCCGGCGGCGCCGATGCTCGGATGCGGGCGATCGTTAGCGGCAGCGAAACGATCATCAGGGAGTCAACAGTTCGGAAACGATCGAGATTTGATTAACGCAAATGTAATGGAATAATGACTTCGGCGGAACACACGCTCTCATGCAATCGTTTTTAGAACGTAGCAAACGTAGCAAGCGGGCGGTTCAATTGATGTTAGTAGTTACCATAGACAATCGCCAAGCCAGTGTGGCATTTGGAAAATTATATTAGGCTCTTTGAAGCAACAATAAAATGTTTTTAGTAAAAAAAATAAGATCCGACATCTAATATCTCACTCACTTCACATTCGCTTATTGATTTTGTAGAGTTCCCTGGTTCTCTTGAGTCCAAGGTCAAAATAAAAAAAAAATGGATATGTATTATATTATTTTGTATTACAGTGGCCACGTATCAGCTTTGCTGTTGCACTAATGAGCAGGCTCGTCCGGGAAACCACAGCCTCACAGAAGACCGGCATCAAGTGGAAATAGTAGACTTCGCGTTTTGTATAGTGAGTGCGGTAACCGGAACTAACTTTTTTAAAGGTAGCCAACGCATGGAAGGTAAGCCGAACCGAATGCAATAAGGATTTTTTAAACCTATTCATAAATTACAGAGTTCGGAGTTAACAAACATAAAAACACAAAAGCAACCGAATTGAGGACCTCCTCATTTTTTGGAGTCCAGCGAAAACAACGAAACCTAATAATTACACCGATCCTTTCTACAATTATTTTATTAAAACGCAATCTGCAGGATTATAATTATGTTTATAACGCGCCAAAACACGAAGGAACTGATGCCGCTGCATAAATTTTCAGTAACATTTTCCCTCTAAAATCCGAGGTTACGTCCGCCATCTTGTTTTTGCAATTTCGCCTCGAGAAATTTACGATCCTCCGTCGAGGACCGTCGTATAAAATACGCTACAATCGGGGAAATTACAAAGGATAATAAAACAAAGTTCACCTCTTAACCCTTGCTGGGTAGACGGAGGCTGTTGGTAAAATTTATCAAAGTGCGTCTTTTGACGCGAGAAATACTATGACATTTGTACAGGGCAATATAACGGCGATGTTGACAATACATCGTGAGCTAATAGTTATAATATAATATAAAATACTCACAAGATTATATCCCGATAACTCGATCAGTAAGCAACACGCAGATTAACCGCGAATTAATCTAAATTCTCGTAAAATTACTTATAATCTGCCAATAGATTTGTATTACGCGTGTTATTTCCAACTTAGCAGCGATTTTGAAATGGTCTCCTTATCGATATAATTAACGAAAAGCTGGCCGCGATAAGCGTATACCGTTTGGCAATGTCCAAAGATTTTATATCTGTGACAACGCGTTGATATCGGTTATTGATGAGTTGTTTTTATCCAATTAAAAATAAAAAATACCATTTAAAAGTAGCTAATTTTCTTTGTCATTTCGATAAAATTTATCGTTCCTAACGTTACGTGCGTTTAGAAGTATAAAGTACTGACGATATTAAACATAGTTGTTCAATATAAAAATATAAAACACTGGCACGTGTTGCGATAATAAATTAAAAAGAAAAACGATGATTTAACTTTTTGTATGTTCTATGATACTAATGTGATAAGAATAAAGAGTGCTGGCGTCTTTCAAAATTATTAAAAAAAATTACCTAATGGCCCGTTTAGAAGATTAAGTTCCATTTGGAATACCAAGAAAATGCCAAACATTTTAACCGACTTCAAAAGGAGAAGATCTTATGTTCGACTGTATGTATTTTTTTAGAACTATGATTACTTTTCAAAAAGTAAGGCTTTGTTTGCGGTCAAATAAGAAAAAAGATAATTTGTATTTTCTTTTTGACTGACGTCTTAGTATTTATAATGAACTAGCGAACCGCCCCGGCTTCGTACAGGTGCAATGTATAATAAACCTTCCCCTTGAATCACTCAATCTAGTAAAAAAACCGCATCAAGATCCATTGCGTATTTCTATAGATCTAAGCATTCGAGTAAATAAGGACAGACAAAGCGGGACGACTTTGTTTTATACTATGTAGTGATAGTGATGTCATGAATTGTATGAGCTGTTTCAATTTATTTTACCCATCATCATTGGAGAAAATCATCCTGCAACATTATTATAGTATAGATAATAGCCGTGATAGCTGTGTTCGGGCGCTCGCCTTTAATTCATTATACTCGGGCAACCTGACTTCGATCTGGTGCTGGCACCAATGAAATTGCTAATTTTAAGTGCAGACTTACGTGAAGGAAAACATCGTGAGGAAAAGCTGAATATTTCTGAAATATTAACAAAAAAAATATTTCGTAGATGCGCGTAGGGGCCGCGTGGTCGACTATGCCCTGATACCCTCTATACAGAGGAGGCCTTTGTGTTCACTAAGTGACTCCGAATGGCGATTTAGAGAGGACCTGGTAATACGATAGAAGGTGACGAAGGAGCAAGCGGTTAAACTGAAGGTGAACAATTGGCGTCTATGAACTTTTATAGCAATGATCTAGAGCCTAGCCAACCTTTAGGGTTACTTTAGCCCACTCCAATGCAGAAAAAATAAACTAGTGTCCTTTTTTGGTAAATAAATTAATTTTCTTTATTATAAATTAATCTTTCTAGCGATTGAACTGAAAACTTGAGAAGGTCAAGAAATAAAGTAAAATTATTGTTAGCAATTAACATCCGTAAATAACTTTAATATAACTCGTGGAGTTTTGGGGCATGCTTGTATGGGATGAGAGGTTATGCACAGTTATTTTTATTGTACGGAGTGCACACGCCTGAGTTATATAGCAGTAGCATCATCCTGCAGCATCCAAATTGATACTCAATGCATAACTATTCTATTCTATTCTATTCTATTCTCTTTCGATATTTTATTCTCTCCACCCTATCCGTATTTTGTTTTCAAAACATTTTAAACAACTAATGAATGGTTACGCTAAAACGAGCCGTATTACGATGGCGTAAGGCCCACTCCAAACGATCGTTGTTTCGGGGGCGATACGCACGTTAATTAGGCAGCGCACAAACGGTGCGATCGCTAACTGGCGGTCAATTAGGCTGCATGCAGACGGCGCGAGTCGAACGCCGATCAGTTAATGACGCCAGATAACGTCAATTAACTGACAAAGGTCTTTCTAGCATCCGATTATAATCTGTTGCGATTATGATCGTTTAGATTGCGAATATAAGGGATGGGCCCTAAGCGAATTAGTGAGCCCATCCTTTACAATGCTTTTTAATTTACTTTACACAGTCAGTAAGTTTGTTAGCCCTACCTTCAACATCCACGCAATGCTGGCTATAACCAGCAGCAAAAAGCAGTTGTTCAGACCCTGATTTTGTATTGTGTGGAAGGGGTTGGGTAATAAGTCCGAACGACCACTGAACTCTGGAATATATTACAGCAGGATAATATTTTTTAAAGAACTTGAATTTCACGTGCACAAACACCCAGATCCGAAACAACTGTCCGTGAGTCATACAAACAGTTGTCCCGCATGGGAATCGAACCCACGACCTACGGCGCCGAAACCAATACATCGAAAACTGTGCCACGGAGTCATCAATCTGTGATGGGCTAATAGGCTGGCGAAGAAGGCTTATTGCACCAACTGATGGTAAGTTATCACCGCCGATGAACGCCCCTGACGGATGTAAACGAAGAGGCGCGGTGAACACTTGGTATCTTTTGTACACTCATCACCATTTCAGACTGTTTGAGTCCAGTGCTGAGCATATGTGTCCCCCACAACCCGGAACAAAGCACGATTCCGACCCAAGCGGACACTACGCGTTGTTAATTGTAACATCTTTACATTGTAGTTTTAATTTTTATACGCAGTTTGTAAGTATCATGGATTTATTGTGTTATTGGGGTAGGCCCAGGGAACAGTACTGTTGCCCGAATGGGCAGGTTCGTGCGAGGTAATACCACGGCCTCACAGAACACCGGACTGATGTGGAAGAATCATACTTTCGTGTTACGTCTGGTGAGTGAGGTTGTAGACCCACTATTTTTAAAGGATGTCAACACATCTGTTAGCCTGTGGTGTGACCACGCAACAACCTTCGCTGTTGCAAGAATGGGCCGTACTGGTAAGTACCACGGCCTCACCGAATACCGGCGTGAAGTGGAAGTGTTATTCATCTGCGTTTCGTCTGCTCAGTGCGGTGGCCGGGGCCCACTCTGTATACAGCATGTCGTTACCACCGCGACAATAAATGAACACACGTCTACCGCTACTTATCAATAATCATAAAAAAATATTAACGTCAAAAAAATCCATAATTAAAAAAAATATTTTGCAAACAAACTAATTAAGTAAAAAAGAAACAAAATTTGTAACATTCTATACAACTACTGATTCGTACAATGAGAGACTTTCATTCGTTGCCACAGCGTCGGATTACAAGCCTCTCCTTCTAACAGTATGTTTTATCTCTTTTAAATTCATTTAACCCATTATGCTTTGTGACCTTTACAAATGAACATTACGTTACAGTTTTGTACGTGTAAGGGTGTTCTAAAATTGTTTGTTTTGGGAAATTTAATAACTCTGTAAATATTGATGCTTAAAGAATGTAAATTTTTAATACAATTCTATATGTGTGTTCATTTATTGTCACGATTGTAAAGACACGCTGTATAAGGTGGCAACGCATCTGCAACCCTACGGGTGTTACAAATGTCAATGGGCGACGGTTATCACTAAACATCATGTGAACCGCCAGCTCGTCTACCACCTTCTAAAATTAAAAAAAGTCGAGGTTTTTTCGACTTCATGGATAATTCAATACCATTATACTATTCCAGGGCGTGGTATCTTCGAGTCGATTTCGCGGAAGCCGCTTCTCCGGACCTAATCAACAAATGATAAATCGAGTATTAAACTTGTCAGGTGATAGGATACGTGTCGTATCTGCTGAAAGGAGTTATCGCGAAATTATCGACTGCCGCTGAAAAAGCGACCGTTGCTATTTTAATTGGCTCCTTATCATTTCTTTGTCCATTGAGAAAATTCGCGGTCGTTCAATCGAGGGATTTAAATGGACAAGTAA